AACAAACAATAGAGGAAACAATTACACAAGTGAAAGAAGAAAAAAGGAAGATGAATGAAGAAGATGAGGGAACAGTAAATGAGCAGAGGATTACGAGATCAACAAGACCTAAATATAAGTAAATCAAAATGAAGAAGGAAAATGGATTTTTTTCAGTGAATATAAATGGATTGAATTTCCCCATCAAAAAGAAAAAGAATTTTCAAACAACTACAGAAATTAAACATTGATATAATTTGTTTACAAGAGACACATAAAAAAACATCATAAATTTTTGGAAAATTCAAAACTTGGAAAACTTTATTACACATCAGTTCAACAAAAAAAGAGTAGTTATATATGTTAAAGAGACAATAGATTCCAAAATGATTTATACAGATGAAGAAGAAAGAATATTAATGGTAGAAATATTTTTAAATCAAAAACAGATACTTTTGATAGCAATATATGCACCAAATAACGAACAAGAAGAATTTTATCAAAACCTTCACAGAAAAATAGTAAAAATGGAATATCAAAATATATGCTTAATTGGGGATTTCAATACAATAGTAGATAGGACATTAGACTATAAAAGCAGTAAATCAAGGAAACAAGGAAGAAAAAGATTACCAAAGACTTTTTTTAACATGACAGAGGAAATTGGTGTAAAAGATATTTGAAGAGAAACAAACCCAGGAAAATCACAATATACATTTTATTCTAATAGTCATAAATCTTGGTCCAGAACTGATATGATTTGGATGACGCCTGAATTAAGGGTTAATACGCAGGAAATTGAAATAGAAATATGTACTTGGGCAGATCATAATCCTTTAAAAATTGTGTGGAAAGGAATGCAGAAAAAATTAAGATGGACTTTGATCAATTATATTAAAAGAGAAAGAATTTATAGACTTAGCAACAAAAGAAATCGAATTTTTCTTAAAAGAAAATAAAAAAGATACAATATTACAAAATGTATGGGATACAGCCAAAGCATATTTTCGAGGCATGGTGGTAACATATATGGCGGAAAAAAAATAAAGAAAAGAGACAACAATGTCAGTTGTTAAGAGAAGAATTTAAAAAATTAGAACTTGAACTACAAATAAACCCACAAAAGAAAATATTGAAAAGACAAATGGAAATAATAAAACATAAATTAAATAGAATCAGAAAAAATGGCACAGCAAATTAAAAGGGCAAAGCAAAACTTTTTTGAAAATGCAAACAAACCAGGAAGATGGTTAGCTTATAAACTTAAAAAACAGGAGAAAAAATTGATAAACAATTTAGTAGATGAAAAGAACTGTTTACAATTTAAAAATGAAGCAATAAAAAAGATAATCAAAGAATACTATGAGAAACTGTATGTTAAGGAACAAACGCCATGGAGAAAATGACTCAATATATGGAAGAAAATAATTTATCAAAAATTCCAGAAAACTTCAAGACTATGTTAAATGAAAAAATAACAATGATGGAAGTGACAGAGGCAATAAAAAGACAAAAAAATGAAAAAACACCGGGATGGACTCTCGGCAGAGTTTTATAAGTGTTTACAAGATACATTAAGTTCGCCATTGAAAGATGTATGTAATGAACTTTTATTGAAGGCAAAACTCCCAAATACATGGACAAAAGGAAATGTTACTTTGATACCAAAAGATTTGACCCAAATAAAAAACTATAGACAGATATCACTACTGAATGTGGACTATAAAATCTTCACTTCAATAATAGCTGAGAGGCTGAAAAGATTTTTGACAGAATTTATGCACCCAGATCAAAACGGATTTTTGCCAAAGAGACAAATAAAAAATAATTTGAGAGTAATATTGGACATATTGGAATATTATGAACTACATCCAGGAAAACAACTGGCATTAGTATTTTTAGCTGCCCAAAAGGCATTTGATAATGTTTCTTGGCAATTTTATGATTCAACAACTAAAAACAATGGACTTTGGACAAAACTTTATAAATACGATTCAGACAATATATCAGAAACAAACAGCAAAAGTGATCGTAAATGGGGATTATACAGAGAATTTTGATATACGAAAAGGCACAAGACAAAGATGTCCATTATCCCCACTGCTGTTTATCTTCACTTTGGCAGTTTTAAATAGAAACATTAGGCAAGATTCAGAAATTAAAAGATTGAAAATAAAAGGTGAAACCTACAAACTGCACGCATTTGCAGATGATTTGGTATTCATTCTAGAGGAACCTTTAGAGACATTCCTAAACTGTTGGAAAAGATAGAACAATTTGGAGAGATAGCAGGATTAAAGATAAATAGAGAAAAAACTAAAGTGGTAATTAAAAATCTTACAGTTAAACAAAAAAAGCAATTATCAGAAAAAATAGAATTGCAAATAGTCAAAAAGGTCAAATACTTGGGAATATATTTGCAGCAAAATGTTCAACAATAAAAGAAGATAATTACATTACATTGTTAAATCAAATAAAACTTGATTTGGAAAAATGGAAGAATCTTCAACTGTTGATGTTAGGAAGAATTGCTACGGTGAAAATGAATATATTACCAAAAATACTATTTTTGTTTCAAATGATACCTATAAAACTGCAGAAAAAATTCTTTGAAGATTTAAACTCCCTAATTCAAAAATTTACCTGGCAAGGAAAGAAAGCTAGAATTAAATTGAAAATGCTACAAGAAGCCAAGGGAAATGGAGGTTTTGGCTTGCCAGATTGGGTTTTATATTATCAAGCATCAGTGTTAACATGGATAAAAGAATGGATAACTCTCAGGAATAAAAGATTGCTGTATTTGGAAGAACATGACCTACAACTTGGTTGGCATGCTTTTTTATGGTATGGAAAAAATAAAATACATAAATACTTCCAAAACCACTATATTAGAAATGCACTATTATTAACTTGGGAAAAAATAAAATGTAAAATTTATTTGAAAATTCCAGGATGGCTTTCAACAATGGAAGCATTTGTACATCCAAATATAGTCAGTCTCGATAAAATATGGACATACAAAGATATTCTAAATTATGAAGGGAACGTAAAATCCAGGCAAGAGATGGAAAATTAGGGCATTCATTTTGCCTTGGTGGTCACATTTACAAATGCAAGTCAGATATGACAAAAGATATTAAACAGTACAGATTTTATAAAGAGCAGACTATGTTCGATCAGACATTACTAACCTCTGATGAAAAGTTAAATAAAAAATGTACAATTTTTTATTAAATTTCAAAATGGAAGATGAACAAGTAAAAGAGACAATGATAATATTTTGGATATAATATAGACTTAGAGAAGTGGCAGTTTATGGGAAAGAAACTATAAATTAACAATGTCAGCTTCATATAAAGAAAACTTATATAAAATGTTCTATCTTTTTGCCACCAAAAAGATTAGCAAAAATGTTTAAAAATATGTCAGAGAAATGTTGGAAATGTAAACACAAACCAGGTACTTATCATCATATGTGGTGGACATGTGTTAAAGCAAGGAGATATTCGACAACAATCCACACTTGGTTAGAAAAAATGTTAGAGAAACACAGACTATAAACTTGAATTTTTTTTACTAGGTATAATGCCAGAAAAACTTGATAAGCAAAGTACATATTTGATTCTACATGTGATAACAGCGGCAAGAATTGTATTTGCACAATCTTGGAAGAACGAAGAAATACCACCAGAAGAAGAAATAATCAAAAAAAATTAGACTGTGAGGAAATGGACAGACTTACTTTAAGGTTGAAAGAAAAAGAAGAAACAGAGTATTTTCAAACATGGGACCTATTTTATCAATGGTTAGAGAAAAGATTTAGGGATTAGGAATTTAATTTGTATTAGTGAATAAGATACTCAGACAACACATTTTTGTTGAATAATTATTATTGAATTCTGTTAAAAAATAAAACTTTATAAAAAAAGGATTTGAAAGGCATATTGACTACTTACAACAGAAGTGTCAAACTGCCAGCTGCAGCTGGTTGCATCATAGCGAAACCGTGCCCACCTCATTGCTGGCAATGGCAAAAAAGTCACGACACATCACGTGACATTGCGAGTTTGACACCCCTGATTTACAATCTCAGTTTCACATATTATATAAAAGCCACAAATAATGGTTAATTTAATAAACTATAATTAAAATATGGTTTAGCAAAAGTGCAAATCCAGCCATAGAACTTTTATGATGTAGAAATATTGCCTTAGAACAATTAAAATGGTGTTTATTTAAAATAATTTATAATAGCTAAATCTATGACTTTAGAAAGACATAATCACAGCAAAAAAAAAGCATTTATCATAGAAAACACAAAAACAAAAAATGCCACTGTAGGCAAAAAAATACAAAATACTTGTGCAACTTAAACAGAAAGAAGTTACAGTCGCTAAGTATTAGATTTAACAACTACAGAATAGCTTATGCTAAAATACCATCCAACTAAATGATAGTCCAAGGCATTTTGCAGTGTAAATTCAAAAAGTTACATATATGTATGTCTATGAATGAAATATATGAATGAAATCACCATTTTCTCCAGCAATTTCAGAGGTCCATCTCAGTTTGTTATTTTATGGTAACTATGTAAAAGTACCAGTTTTTTAAACCTATTTTTGCAAGTTTGGAAGTTTAACCCTCCAAAATGGAAAACAGAACATGACAGTACTATACCTCTTTTTTCCGCAAAAAAAAAGAGAGGAAACGAAAATTATTCATATAAGCACTCCATCCATTTCTCGATTTGTTCTGAAAATTTAGCCTTCCTCAATTCATTCAAAACGTAAAACTGCAGACATTCCCTGATTTAAGATACGTTTTTATGAATGCTCAGAGGAACTTTTTTCCCCTCATTATTAGGGGTTTACTAAACCAGAAGCAACACATTTCCTCACAGGTTTACACAATAAGGAAACCCAGCCAAGCATAGTTTGTAAAACATGATTTATACTTTTTCATTCCGTACTAATCAGCAACTATAACTTTTGCTTCTTGCTTGCTCGGGATCGGTGGCTCACCTTCGAAAAACAAATAAAGCGCTCTGTCCCAACCTCTTGTCTTTCAGACGCGTTAAACGCAAACGCCCGAAATCCCCGAGCACGTCCTTCTCGCCTCCCAACTGCCCTCCGTTCAGCAAGGCAGAAAACGCGTCAGGAAATACCCAGGATTGGCTAGCTGCGGTAGTCAGCTCGAGCAGTCACGAGGCGGCGCTTGCCAACTGTAAACGCTGGACTCTGAGTCGCTGCCTTTCCTTCTGATTATTGCGTAGGGAGGAGGGGCTCTTGTAGCAGGCAGGTCGGGGCTGTTGCTGCGGATCAAGAGCTGATTTCTGAGTCAGAATAGGGATAGTTTGGTGCCTTTAACACTAAAATGGATGGCATTTTATTTTCGGTAATAGTCTTGTGGAAAAATAAAGCCTTAAAAAAATAAAGGGCTTTTACAAAATTCCATGGGTGAAAGAGAGATCTTTATTTTTGCGCAAAAGGTTCAGAAGTGATTTAACAATCAACAAATTTCTGAACAAGGGGGAGGGTCTAAACTAAAGCTTTATAGGTTTCTTTCTCTCAGGAACAAAGGAAGCATAGATGGAATCTTACATTGTATATGGAATCTACTTTTGTGTAACATTCAGATAGTTTCTCACACGTTAGGTCCATTTCTCATGGGAATACAATGAAGGCAGTTTTTACTTTTATACAATGTTTCTAAATATGCATTAGGTCATTCACGTACTGTTAATACAGCTTTTGGCTAACACAGCTTTCTTTTCAGAGATTATGCAGACACATGATTTTTGCTTTTAGTGATTTTTCATTATTATTATTATTATTATTATACTTTATTCTTCTTTATTCTATGTTATTCTATTTCTTTCCCACATTACTCCCCCCTTTTGGAAGTTTTCCAGCTTAAACTTCCATTATTCTACCTCTGATTCCGGATCTCCTGAAGGTACCATTTTATATTCCCATAAGGCTAACATTGTTTCATGTTTTGCTGTTAATTGGGCTGTACTTTCTGAGATCCTCCGAATCGTGGCTATAAGACGGGATCAAGCAAGGAATTAAAATACACCCTAGAATTAACAAGACTGCTATAACTATGATGGTTTGTAGGCCGGGTAACTTTGGCCACCATCCTGAAAATACATCTTCCAAGTTAAATCCGTTCCAGGTTTGCACCGGAACATGTGCTAACTTGATCATTTGATCTGTTATGCCTTTCAATACTTTTCCACTTTCATCTACTTCAATGCAACAGTTTGTAAGGTTGAATTTTCCACATACCCCTCTTTCTTTGGCTAAAAGATAGTCCAGGGCTAACCTATTTTGCATGATACATGTTCTGGATTTCACATTTTCTTTAGCCAATTCAGTTAGTCCCTTCACAGTCTCATTGGTGATTAACTCTACCACCACTTGTAACCTCATGATCCTGTTGATCATATAAATAGGGGTACGGTATCCATACGTTCCATCCTCAGCCCAAGTAGCCGGGCCATAGACTAGAATGATGCGACAAGGTGGCCACTCATCCTTTTGCCAAGTGATTCCTGCACATTGGGTATATGCACTTGGTTCCCTTTTTTGTCTTATATTGCCAATTTCATCATATACAGGGACTCCAAGAATTTGCTTAGTTTTTAGTGGTAACAGGAAAAATCCTGGTCGAATTATTCCCAATACACAAGATCCACACCAATTCTTAGGTAGTTGCCCATATGTCATTTTTCCGCAAATCCAGTACATTCCATCTGGGGCTAACCAATGGAGACTGATATTTGTGGGGTCTTTTAGATAGGGCATCCCAGGAATGTTAGTAAGGGCATAACGATTCATAGCAGTGGTCTCATTGGTTCCAGACCACCATTTACCATCTTCCCATATCCCTGTGCATAGGAGGTCATCTACTGCTACATAAGATTCTGTTTTGTTTCTTGAGTAACATACATGTCCTACCAAGTTGGAAGTGAGACCCCAATCTCCATCTTTCCCACTTGTATAGGTTAAATTATTATTTTTAGACATTTCCAGTACCTTGGTATAATTTAACTCTTGTGCCTCCCACAGCCACCTTTCTCCCATGTTTGTTCCACCACACACAAAACAGTTAGACATGCCTAAAGTATGGGCAATGTCTTCTGCTAACTTAACAAAGGTATTGGTTACATGTCTAGATACTTCAGGAATATGTAGGTTCTCCATTTCCTCATAATATGACCAAAATAATGATTTTTGTTCTGGTCTTTTGGTTGCAGTTATAATTTTGACTTCTATTTCTGACATTGGGTCATAGCCATTTGTATCTATTCCTATCCCAAACATCCATTTCTTACTTTCCCACCTATTCTGTTCTAGGAACCAACTGCCATTCTTGACTGTGAGAGTCACCAAATTACAGTTATCCGTTCCACAGGAATTTGCTTTTGTTTCATTCTTTTCAAACAAGATGTGGTCTATCTCTTTTGGGTCTTGGGTATGCCACTTAATACATGACCACCACTTACATTTGACCGCACATCCATCTGGTGGGCACAAGTACTTATGTTTTGGGATAAAGTTGTGAATATTACCGATCCCTCCGCAACCATATGTTGGAGTCCAATAATTAGCTGCTTTGCAAACATCAAAGGTGACGCTAAAACTGGAGTGTGGATTGGATTTCCATTGGGAGATCCCTAAGAGTGCCTGGTCCTTATAGCTAGTTCTTGTTCTATGTGTTTTGATTTGTAAGGCCCAACGATCAGGATCAGACTTCGGGTTATAACACTGATATTGGACACCTTTTCTACAAACTTTATATATAGTTCTATTGTATGTACAAGAGTCAGGAGAACTATCTTGACACCCTTCTGGTTTAACTGTATGGTAAATCAAAGTCTTGGTTATCTGGTTTCCTTGTTTTATAGTTTTGATACAGTTTTGACAACCTTGGTTTCCCTGTGTTTCTGCTCTTTCTTGGTGTGTGCTACTCTATAATTCTTTATTAGAGGGTTTCTGCATTATGACCTCTCGTGTAGCCATTGTACTGATTTGTGTAGGAATGTGTGTGCATATTAAATAATTAACAAATATTACGAGCTGTAGAATCCTCATATCTTCCACCGTGCGTAGAGAGACAGCTTCCTGGGGTGTCTCAGCAAGGTTGTTGATCACACCGTGTCTTGGGAACCCGTTGCTGTATTTCTTGTAAATTTCAACACCAAAGGCTTGTCAGTCTTGTCCACCTTGTAGGTCACCGGATCTGCAGGTGCAGCTGCTTTCACTCTACTCCAATGGATCCAAGATTTTCCTTCCAGGGTTTTCACTGCCAAAGGAGAACACATGACAACAGTATATGATCCTTTCCGTCTTGGGCTCAAGGGATCTGATTTCCAGTGCTTTACCCACACTCTATCTCCTGGCTTAACTAGGCAACTGTGCTGACTCAACAGTAGAAGTGTGAGAAACTATTGCGTAACCAGAGTATCTACATCCTTTATCCATAAAGCTAGAACCATCAGTAAACCATTGATAGTCTGGATTATGCAAGGGTTGGTCTGTAAGGTCAGGTCTGCAAGAATATTGTAGTTCTATTGTTTGCATGCAGTCATGAACAGGTTTGGTTGAATCAGGAATTGGCATTAGAGTTGCTGGGTTTAAAGTTGAGCATTGTTGCAGTGTAACTTGTGGATTTTCTAATAAAAGAGCCTGTATTTTATGCATTCGTTGATTACTTATCCATAAATGTCCTTTATTATCAATGATTGTCTGCAAGGCATGACTAGTATAAACAGTCACTGGAGCTGAAAAGGTTAACTTGTTTGCCTCCTGCAGTAATAGCATAACTGCTGCTAGAATTTTTAAACACTGGGGCCAGCCTTGTGAAGAAATGTCCAGGTGTTTTGACAGATAAGCGACAGGGCGGTTCCAACTTCCCTGTTTTTGGGTAAGGACCCCTAAAGCTACATTTTGTCTTACATCCACATAAAGTGAAAATGGCTTAGATATATCAGGTAGTCCTAGGGTGGGGGCTGTGGTGAGAGCCTGTTGCAATTGTCTTATTGCTTGGGTTTGTTCCTCTTGCCACAAAAGAGGTTCTTTTTCTGGTCCCCTTAAAGCTTAGTACAATGGTTTAGTTGTGAGAGCGAAGTTAGGAATCCAAATTCTACAGAAGCCTGTAATTCCCAAAAAGGCTCTAACTTCCTGTTTTGTTTCTGGGATGGGAATCTGTAACACAGCTTGCTTTCTCTGGGGGCCCAAAGTTCTTTGTCCTTGTGAAAGTTCATAGCCTAAATACATTACAGTCTCTTGAATTAATTGTGCTTTCTTTTTGGATGCTCTATAACCACAGTCTTGTAACAATTGGAGCAGTCTGGATGTGTTTTCAAAGCAATCCTCCCTGCTTTGGCCAGTTACTAAGACATCATCGACATATTGAAGGCAACAATCCTTTTGTCTGAATAATTTCAGATAAGCAAGATCTTGGGCTAGGGCTTGACTAAAGCACGTTGGTGAATTTTTAAATATACGGCTACCACAAGGATTTGATTGCTTGCCAATAGATTTATTTAGGGCAGATCTGGTGGCTCCCGTGTCAACTAGCATCAGGACAACCTGTCCTCCCACCCTTATTTTAACAATGGGCTCTGGGGGTGGGGCGATAGAACCCTGTCCTCTTCAGTCTTCCCATTCCATGTCAGCTAAGCCGATCATGTTTTCTTCTCTTTCCTCTGTCTGATTGGGATAAACTGGATGCCCTCTTCCTTTGAAGCTCTTTCTGAAGCCTCTCTGGAAAGTCCCTCTAAATCCTCTTCCTCTTCCATACTGGCGAGATTGTCCCCTGGGTTGGCCATTCCTCTGGGGGCACTCCCTTTGCCAGTGTCCTTCTTGTTTACAGATGGCACACTGATTGGGTCCTAGGCATGTTCCTCCCAATGCCATGGCTAACATTTCAACTTTCTTTTTTTCTTTTTGATCTGATTTGTGTTCCTCCTCCCTGGCACAGTTACGGAACATATTGAAGCATTGAAATATTAGTGTTATCTGGTCCAGGAACCAACACCTCTCTTAGAGGGGCAATATTTTCTTCTGTTTTTATTTCTAACTTGCTCCTGGTGTGGCTAGAAACTGAGGTTTCACTTTCAAAGTTGTTCAAGCTTTTATCTGTTTCTTGAAGGGATCCAGCTGTTGCTAATTTTCCTTCCTCACCGGCTTCTGCCTGAAATT